ATTATTGATGATACTCAATCCAGTGACCGTGAAGCGCGGAAGCTCTCCTAGTGAATACGGAGCGCGATCTTTCACATGATATTCTATCAACTCCATATATAATACAATCAATTTATCCCATCTTTCAGAACTACAAGCAAAGAATTCCCTACGGTCATTTGACAATAGTGAAATACACAAACTAGTCTATCACAATGAAGATTTGCATAATTTGATCACTACACTGGCCAATTTATATTTCCAAACTATTGTCAAACGATGACTCTAGTTTAAAAATATGTTTATATTTTCTATATATAGAGGAATTGTTCCAGAACTATTCGGTTCATCCGCCCACAATATTTCCTAATATATAGATCAATTACGTTGTGTGAGCAGTGAGGCTACTATAATTCCATTTCATTGTTTGCTTTTCTACTTTGATTCTGGAGTCAATCTTAAATTACTATTTTAATTAGATCATTGCGCTTCAATGCCCTCTCGCACTCGATCATCCAAGAAAACTGAACCATCAACTCCACCAACTTCTCTTACAAGAATCAGTGACATTACCCACGTATCAGAAACCATTCAAGGTGATGATTTCGTGGCAGGTACGGTAGGTGGGCATTTGATGAGCGAAGACGAGTTGTCATCGGTCACAGCTTCCCCATCCGAATGCGACAAAGTCGAGTCATCTGCTCATGCTTGGAGTCCCGCACCAATTAGCTCAATCAAAGAAAAGATGTCCATGTGTCACCTGTTAGATCCAGCAAGTTGAGTTATTTCGGATTGTCTAATACTCGGTCTCTATCTCCTATCTCTCTGTACTGCCAAAAATTCACTTGGATCCACGTTTATAAACCTTTGATGCCATGTATAGATCACACCAATCTTCGAGAAAACAACAAAAAAGGTAAAAGCGCCGTTCGCGCCGTTCGCGCCGATCACACCGATCACACCGATCACACCGATCACGCCGAACAAAGTTGAGTTTGGTTTTGTTTGGTTACGTCAGGGTTTGTATTCCAAGGGACTAACATCTTTCGATTGCTTGTTCGCCAGATCGTGACAAAAACTTCTTGAGGGGAGACCTATCAAAGACAAAGGCAGCCTTCATGTACCCCCTGCCAAAGGTATTGCGTGGTGTCAAGCCAGCCCTTTATGATCCAGAGGATTTTACGGGTTACAATAGTCAGCTTGTTGTATATAAGTTTGGAGCAGCAGTGACCGTGGTTCAAAGGGATCATGAATGGGTGGCGAGGTTGGTCAATTTGGAAATTGGTAACGTACCAAAGTCCCTCACGGCCAAAAATCATGTCAACTGGTACAGGAGTAAGACTTCCGGCCGCTCGGAAGTACTCAGCATGAGTCAAGCCAATGTATTTGTAGCTCACGCGTTGCAGTTATTCAAAGATGAGCTTTGTGATGTGTGGCTATTTCATCTTGAATCTGAGAGTGATGACACCAAAAGATTAGGAGATTTGTATAGGAAATCTAGAGGCCTAAA